CAGACTTCTAGCCACTGGAACTATAAGAGAATACATTTTTATTGTTTTAAACCACTCAGGGTACTTCGTTACAGCAGTTTTAGGAAAGTAATACAGAGACCTTCAAAAGCAGTATTGGGACAATTGCCTTTTCCATTTGGAAAATAACATTGAGGTAAATCACGACTGTATATAGTATATAAAATATACATTGAGGTAAATCACCACTGTATATAATATATAAAATAAATTTTTAAAAAATGCGTTCTAGATAAATTTAAAATCTAAGTATGAAAAGTAAAACTTAAGCCGTTTGGAAGAAAATTTAGTATATCTTTCCAACCTACATATAGAAATTTTTTTTTAAAACAGAGAAAGCAAAATGACCTAAGACTGATACATTTGCATTGAAACTGAAAATATATGTACAATATAAGCTTAAATAAAATTAAAAGATAAGACATACACGAAGATAAAGTTTTTTGTTGTTGTTTTAAGAGTTTATTTATTTGACAGTGAGAGAGACAGCAAGAGAGGGAACACAAGCAGGGGGAGTGGGAGAGGGGCAGGCTTCCCACTAAGCAGGGGGCCTGATGTGGGACTGGATCCCAGGACCCCAAGATAATGACCTGAGCCAAAGGTGGATGCTTAACTGACCAGGCCACCCAGGCGCCCCTAAAAGAATGTATACTTAATGAAATTAGAGTACTTTAACAAATATATAACTTACATGCTTCTAGTTATACATCTTAGAAAGTTTGATTTATTCAAAGCGATCACAATAAAAAAAATGTTTTAGGGCGCCTGGGTGGCTCAGTGGGTTAAGCCGCTGCTTTCGGCTCAGGTCATGATCTCAGGGTCCTGGGATCGAGTCCCGCATCGAGCTCTCTGCTCAGCAGGAAGCCTGCTTCCCTCTCTCTCTCTCTCTCTCTCTCTCTGCCTGCCTCTCCATCTACTTGTGATCTCTGTCAAATAAATAAAATCTTTAAAAAAAAAATGTTTTAAACACATTTGCTTGTGTTATTTTTTCTTATGCATTGTTTTAAATAGAAGTGAAATTGAAAACCAGTTCTGGATAAACTCTTAGTATTCTAGGAACAGGTGGCATCTTAGTTAATAACTTAAAGGAAACAACAAATATTACGTGAGAAGCATTAGAAACATTTCCTTTAAAGAATAAAACAGTTGCATGCTATCATCACTATTACTCAACATCGCTCCAGCCAGTACAGTAAGATGAAAATAAGAAATGATAGGCTTAGTCTTGTATGCAGGAGACTATAGACCTGTAATTTATAGAGTTCTGTGGAAAACCTATGAGTTTAAAATAAACAACTTATCTTTTGCTTAAAAAAAAAAAAAAAAAAAAAAGAGGGGCGCCTGGGTGGCTTGGTTGAGTGGCTGCCTTTGGCTTAGGTCATGATCCCAGGGGCCTGGGATTGAGCCCCGCATTGGGCTCCCTGCTCAACGGGGAGCCTGCTTCTCCCTCTGACTCTCTCCCTCCTATCATACTCCCTCTCATTCTTTCTCTCTCTCAAGTAAATAAATTCTTAAAAAAAAAAAAAAAGAAATTACAGGCTTAAATCATTAAAAGAAATGTTAAGGGGCGCCTGGGTGGCTCAGTGGGTTAAAGCCTCTGCCTTCGGCTCAGGTCATGATCCCAGGGTCCTGGGATCGATTCCCACATCGGGCTCTCTGCTCTGCAGGAGCCTGCTTCCTCCTCTCTCTCTGCCTGCCTCTCTGCCTACTTGTGATCTCGGTCTGTCAAATAAATAAATAAAATCTTTAAAAAATAAATAAATAAAAGAAATGTTAATTTGCAGATCTCATTCTCTGTGTAGACACTCCAAGGCCATCAACTGACAGTGTTAGTCAACGAGGAAATTTGTTTCCAAAATAAACATAAAAATGATCTTCCCAAGCTTTCATAATTAGAAAATTTAATGGGAGGGGTGCCTGAATGGCTCAGTCTGTTGGGCGGCTGCCTTCTGTTAGGTCATGATCCTGGAATCGTGGGATCAAGCCCCACATTGGGCTCCCTGCTCGGCGGGGAGTCTGCTACTCCCTTCGCCTGCTGTTCCTGGAGCTTGTGTGCCCTCTATCTCTCTCTAACTCTCGTTCCATGTCAAATAAATAAATAAAATATTTTTTTTTATAAAAGAAGAAAATTTAATGGGCCAAACCCCTCAAACATGGTAGCAATAAAAACTCTACAGTTTGTAGGAATGAACCTATCAAGAATTATATAAGGTCTATATGAAGGAAACTAAATTGTACTAAAACACATAGAAATGTCTAGATAAATGAGAGATGTTTCTGGAAGGAAAGATCCCGTGTTTTAGAGATCCAGTTCTCTCAAAATTAGTATATTCCTATCAGAATCCCAATAGAATTTGTGTAAATTTAGCGAAGTATCTTTCCTATGTATGTAGATGAGAAAACAGATAAGAAAAATCAAGATAATTTCCTGTGGAAAATAATGGAGGTGGTGGTGGATGACCACGTCCTCTTAAATAGCAAAATATCTGATAAAGCTAAGAATTAACCCAAAGAACAAATAATCCAGTCAAGAAATGGGCAGAGGACATGAACAGACATTTCTGCAAAGAAGACATCCAGATGGCCAACAGACACATGAAAAAATGCTCCACATCACTCGGCATCAGGGAAATACAAATCAAAACCACAATGAGATACCACCTCGCACCAGTCAGAATGGCTAAAATTAACAAGTCAGGAAATGACAGATGCTGGCGAGGATGCGGAGAAAGGGGAACCCTCCTACACTGTTGGTGGGAATGCAAGCTGGTGAAACCACTCTGGAAAACAGCATGGAGTTTCCTCCAAAAGTTGAAAATAGAGCTACCCTACGACCCAGCAATCGCACTACTGGGTATTTACCCTAAAGCTACAAATGTAGTGATCCGAAGGGAGAGGGTGATGGGGTTATGGACATTCAGGAAGGTATGTGCTATGGTGAGTGCTGTGAAGTGTGTAAACCTGGTGATATATACATTATATGTTAATAAAAAAATTAAAAAGTATAAAAAAAACTAAGAATTAAGCAGTGCAGTACTGTAGCAAAAAAGACACATTCACCAATGAAACAAAAATATACCCAAGTATAAATGGAAACCTAGTTAATGAAAAATGATCCCAAATCAATGGTAAAAGAATGGACTGTTCAAGAAACTTTGTGATGAGTGAATATCCACTTAAAAAAGGAATTATATTCCTTTTGGTTATGATATGCAGAAATAAGTTCCAGATGAAGAACGTCTAATTCGGATAAAAGTTATAAGAATGTTATGAAGAATTTAGGAGAGTATTTTATAATCTTAGGAAGTCTTCCAAATCAACATACTAAACCCTGAAGCCACAAAAGACGTTCTTCTGCAAAGTATAATAATATAAAAAAAAAAAGAGGGGCGCCTGGGTGGCTCAGTGGGTTAAGTGTCTGTCTTCAGCTCAGGTCATCATCCCGAGGTCCTGGGATCAAGTCCCACATCCCACATTGTCCCACATTGGGCTCTCTTCTCAGTGGGGAGCCTGCTTCTCCCTCTGCATCTCCTTGCTCATGCTTGCACTCACTTTTTCTCTCTGAAATAAATAAAATCTTTTTAAAAAAGCATTTGCTAGTCAATCAAAGGATTATTAACCCTAATATGAGAAATTAATAGAGCCCACAAGAATGTTGAGCAAAGGATGTGAACAGACCTGCACAAAGTTAAGTGGAATGTTCCCCTCCCCAGAAAAGTATGAAAAGGATGATAAGCTTCACAAATTAATGCAAATTAAAACAATGAAATACAATTTTTTTTTAACCCATTACAGTGGCAGAATAAAAAATAAAAAGGTTTAAGGACCAACCTGTGCTGGCAAAGGTGTACAGAAGTAAGGGGCGTCTGGGTGGCTCAGTGGGTTAAGCCTCTGCCTTCTGGTCAGGTCATGATCCCAGGCCCCAAATCGGGCTCTGCTCAGCGGGGAGCCTGCTTCCCTTTCTCTCTCTGCCTGTTGCTCTGCCTACTAGTGATTTCTCTCTCTCTGTCAAATAAATAAAATCTTTTTTTAAAAATGAGAAAGAAGTCTTATTAGCAAAGGGTGATTCTTTTTGGAAGGCAATGTAATGGTATTTGTTAAACTGAACATGTTTATAACTTTTGATTTAGTAGTTTTCCTTTTTAGGCTTTATCTTACAGAGGTAAAAGTGCGAATATATTGGGAAGCATATCAGAGCATTGTTTATAAAGGAAATGGAGACAATGTATGTCCCATCAGTGGGACGTATATTTCATGCCATATGTACCCATGGCATGAAATATACTACATGGCATGAAATATACTACAATTTACAAAAACCTGGTTTTGCCTCTACACATTGACCTGGAGAGGTATCTTTAATATATTAAGTGAATGAAGTTACCCAGTGATTTATTTCCACTGTTTTATTTTTTTTTAAAGATTTTATTTATTTATTTGACAGAGAAAGAGAGAGAGGTCATAATTAGGCAGAGGCAGGCAGAGGGGGCTGGGGAGTAGGCTCCCCGCTGAGCAGAGAGCTGGACATGGGCCTCAATCCAGGACTCTGAGATCATGACCTGAGCCAAAGGCAGAGGCTCAACCCACTTAGCCACCCAGGTGCCCTATTTCCACTGTTTCAAAAGAAAAAAAATTCCTTACTATCCGTATGCATATGGAGTTTGAACAAGCATAAAGAACTATGGACGGTGTAGTGGGTAACAGCAGAACCACGTGACTGGAGTAGGGGAAGGAGTATTTCCCAAGGAGGAAGCTGCTGAATAGACAAAAGCAGTGTCCACTACAAAATTTTTTTAACCTGATGACAAGGAGGGGCACCTGGCTGGCCCAGTGGGGAGAGCATGCGACTCTGGATCTTAGGGTTGTGAGTTTGAGCCCCACCTTGGGGATAAAGTTTACTTTAAAAAAAAGAATTGATGAGAAGGAGCTGAAATCCTTTTGAAGCACTAATGCCTGTGTATGTATTATGTCTGTCATTTCAGTTGCCTCTGACTTTTGAGGATGTGGCCATTTATTTCTCTGAGCAAGAATGGCAGAACCTAGAGGCATGGCAGAAGGAGCTTTACAAGCATGTTATGAGAACCAATTACGAGATTCTTGTTTCTCTAGGTAAGAAGTACTCAATTTTGTGGGGAAGTCATGGAACTGGGTCTAGAAGAGGTCCTGTTTGTTAGGTCAGATTTCTCAGAAATTAACTCAGAACGGTATTTTTTAGCCCAGAGTCTTCTTCGTTAATACTTCCTTAAGCAGGGCTAATCCTTACTCAAGGGTAGACCCTGAGAAAGGAAAATATTTAAGACTTTGATATGTGGTGGTCAGCGGTGACTTAGGGTTTATAGTCACTACACGCTCACAGATTGCTGTGATTTCCATATGGGAGCACTCCCAGCTCATGTCCATAATGTATATCTTTACCCTAGGATGTCTCTACCTGTCGGTTTTTACTGTGGGGTTTGCATAACTTAGAAAAGCTAAAATATTTCCCTCCAGTGAGATTTTGTAAGGCTATACCCTGAGACGGTTAACAGCAGCAGTCTCTTCATGGTTATGGTAATGGATGTTCTTTTTAGTCTTTTTGCTTACTTGGTCTTTTAAAAATTTTTTTAATTTATCAAATTAATGATATCCTCACTCTTGTACTCAGATAATTCTCCAAGGCAACCACTGTTAACCTTTTCTGTTTTAGTTTTTACTGGACTTTCCACCAATCTAACTATCCATGCTTTGATCTCTATTACTTGATTTATCGAGTGTAGGCAGCATTAACTCATTATGCCACCCAGGCATCCCTCAGTACTTACATTTAGGTCTTTGGTCCATTTTGGGTTAAGGTTTTTATATGGTGTGGGGTAGGGATCCAACTTCTTTTGCATATGGATATCCAGTTATCCCAACACTATTTTTTGATAAGAGTATTCTTTCCCCCATTGCACTCTTTTGGAGAATCAATTGTCCATAAATGTAGAAGTTTATTTCTGGATTCTCAATTCCGTTTCATTGATCTATATGTTTATCTTCATGCCTACACCATGCTGTTTTGATTGCCATTACTTTTAGGATCAGTTTGTCAATTTTTGCAAAAAAAAAAACAAAAAAACAAAAAAACAAAAAAAAGAACCACCAAAAAACCATAACAACAAAAACAGATTAGATTTGGGGTATATTGTCATCTTTTTTTTAAAATTTATTTTATTTTTATTTTTTACATTCACATTGTTTAATTATAGCTATATGTTCTTTAATTTTTTAAAAAAATTGTAATAGATATATAATATTAATTAGTTTCAGGTATATATCGTAGTGATTCACCATCTCTGTGTGCTATGTTCACCACAAGCGTAGCTACCATCTGTCACCATAGAACGCTAGTACAGTACCATTGACAGCATCATTGAATGCCTTTCATTCCTGTGACTCATTCATGCCATAACTGAGGCCTGTGTCTCCCCCTCCCTGTCACTCATTTTGCCCTTCTCCTTCCCCTTTCACTCTTGCAGTCATCAGTTCATTCTATTTATATGTCTGATTTTGCTTTGTGTTTCTTTACTCATTTGTTTTCAAACGAGATGATTCTAAGTAAATTATAAACCAAAGAAGAAATCACAAGAGAAGTTAGAAAATATTTAAAGTTGGATGATAATGAAAATATAAAGCGGCAAAATTTGTGAGATACACCAAAGCACTTAGAGGGAAGTGTATAGGTTTAAATGTTTATATCAGAAAAGCAGCAAGGGTTTCTTTTTTTTTTTCAGTCTTCTTACTCATTTTAAAAAATTTAAATTCAGTTAATTAACATATAGTGTATTACTAGTTTCAGAGGTAGAGGTCAGTGATTCGTGAGTGTTATATAATACCCAGTGCTTGTTACATCACATGCCCTCCTTAATGTCCATCACCCAGTTACCCCATCCTCCCATGCCTCTCCCCTTGGGAATATTGTCATCTTAACAATATTAGGACTTCCTATTCATGAACATGAGATATCTTTCCGTTTATTTATGACTTTTAAAATCTCTTTCGGCAATATTTTATAGTTTCTATTATGTAAGTCTTGCATTTCTTTTTTTTTTTTTAAGATTTTATTTATGTATTTGACAGACAGAGATCACAAGAAGGCAGAGAGGCAGGCAGAGGGGGGCGGGGGAAGCAGGCTCCCCGCTGAGCAGAGAGTGTGATGCGGGGCTCGATCCCAGGACCCTAAGACCATGACCCGAGCCGAAGGCAGAGGCTTAACCCACTGAGCTACCCAGGTGCCCCATTCTTGCATTTCTTTTATTAAGTTTATTCCTAAGTGTGGTATTCTTTTTGGTGTTATTGTAAATTGAATCGTTTTCTTGGTTTTATTTTTGGAAAAATACTTTTAGAAGATGCTGGGAGGCACCTGGGTGGCTCAGCGATTTAAGCCTCTGCCTTCACCTCGGGTCATGATCTCAGGGTCCTGGGATGGAGCCCCGCATCAGGCTCTCTGCTCAGTGGGGAGCCTGCTCCGCCCCTCCCCCTCTGCCCACCTCTCTGCCTACTTGTGATCTCTCTCTCTCTCTCTCTCTCTCTCTCTCTCTGTCAAATAAATAAATAAATAAATTTTTTTAAAAATTTTATTTAAAATTTATTTTATTTTAAATTTATTTAAAATTTTAAAAAATCTTTTAAATTTTTTTTTTTTTTAAATTAAAAGATGCTGGGGCTTCAACAGATGAAGATTGAGAATAGGTGTATGGATTTTAATAAAAGATAGTGATTCCCTTTCTTCTAAGAGCAGACTTAGAATTCTTTTGGGATTGAAGTCAGATTTCAGGGGGCAAGGAGGGATCTGGAGCACAGTGACCAGTCCACACGTACTACGCCACTCTGACATTTTATCCCTGAGGCATTACCTGGCTTACTCTCTTTCTCTGATCTGAACTATACACTGATCTCCCTTTAGCAATCTATGAAGCATAATTTAGGTTCTGTAAAAGAGATATTATTGAAAGAAAGTTTTACTTGAAAATTCATGAACATTTTATTAGGGGAATGGGGTTATATATTAGACAGTCTTGTAACTATTTTCATTTGCTTATTTCATTGCTTGCAACCCTTTTTATCTAGCAGAACTCGGCCATGTTTTGGGTTGTGATTAGCACTGTCACCAGCGGACTTCTGAGAATATTTACCTACTTTGAAATTTCCTAGGATCGGCATTCCAGTTCTTACCTTGCATACCCCCCTCTTCCCATGGTATCTCCAGTTGTCTGTGGGGCTGTTCCACCATTCTCAAAGCACACTACTAGTGAGTTTTATGAAACCCATGACAAAATGCACATTCCTAGATATATGGGGACTGAGGCAGGATTTTATTTTATTTATTTTATTTTATTTTTTAAAGGTTTTATTTATTTATTTGACAGAGAGAGACACAGCCAGAGAGGGAACATAGCAGGGGGAGTGAGAGAGGGAGAAGCAGGCTTCCCATCGAGCAGGGACCCTGATGCGGGGCTCAATCCCAGGACCCTGGGATCACGACCTGAGCTGAGGGCAGACTCTGCTCAACAACTGAGCCACCCAGCCCCCGCCCCCAAAAGACAGGTTTTAAACACTAAACTGCTTTAACAGGTCCAGATAGATTAGGAAGTACTGTTAGGAAATGTGGGCAGTTTTGCTCCTCCTTGCGTAAACCTATAATCTATTTTTTTTTACTTCTTGTCTCATGCGTTTTCCCAGGAGTACATTTTGAAAATTTTAAGGCATCTCGGTGTGCTTAAATTTAGTGCTCAAAGAAACCAAACTACCCTGTCTGACATTTTTGCACAGATAATGGACTCCCCAAACCAGAACTAATATCCTGGATTGAACAGGAGAGAGAGTTCTTCCAGAACTGGCAAGAAACACAGAAATCGGGAACCATAATTTGCTCTTCTGCTCGTTTGCAATTTGATCCATTTATCGAGGGCCATCAGTTTTGGGGTGAGTATTAAGAAACCAGGGCCATGGGCGCCTGGGTGGCTCAGTGGGTTGGGCCGCTGCCTTCGGCTCGGGTCGTGGTCTCGGGGTCCTGGGATCGAGTCCCGCGTCGGGCTCTCTGCTTAGCAGGGAACCTGCTTCCCTCTCTCTCTCTCTCTCTCTCTCTCTGCCTGCCTCTCTACTTGTGATCTCTCTCTGTCAAATAAATAAATAAAATCTTAAAAAAAAAAAAAAAAAAAAAAGAAACCAGGGCCATGTCCTCAAGACAGTACACTCAGTTTGTTCCAGTTTTCTGATCTGGTCTTCCTGTTTGGCTGGGCTGAAGCTGGACAACTGGTATATTCTAGAGAAGCACAGTAAAGTACAGTGGTTGGGAGTGTGGGTTCAAGAGTCTGAGTCTGGATCTTGTCTTTTCTGGTGACACCTTGGGCAAGTTGTTCAGCCTCTTAGTATTTCAATTTCCTGATCTAGAAAATGAAGACAACTAAAGTACCTAGATAGGACTATATAGGTTAACATATGTGAAGTGTTAAAGTGATACCTGGCACACACTAAGAGCTCAGTAAATGTGAGCTGTTGTTAGTGGTAGGGAAGGCGAGGGGGATGATGGAAGGACTCAGAGACTGGTTATCCACATACTAGTAACCCAAATTGCTTCCTTCCTGTGTGGAGACTGTTGACTCTCCTTGATTACCTAAAACTCAGCTCTCCTGTGTTGTTTCTTATTATGATGGAAGAGTCTGAGATTCTTAGAAAAATTTTTTTAAATTTTATTTATTTATTTGACAGCGATCACAAATAGGCAGACAGGCAGGCAGAGAGACAGAGGAGAAAGCAGGCTCCCCTCTCTGCAGGGAGCCCCCCCCAGGATCCCAGGACCCTGGGATCATGACCTGAGCCAAAGGCAGAGGCTTTAACCCACTGAGCCACACAGGCACCCTCTTGGAATTTTTTTTTTTTTTTAATATTTATGTATTTATTAGAATGAGAATGAGTGGACGTCAGGGCAGAGGGAGAGAATTTCAAGCAGATTGCCTGCTGAGTGTGGAGCCCAACTTGGAACTCAATCTCATGACCCCAAGATCATGACCTGAGCCAAAATCAAGAGTTGGATGCTCAACCGACTGAGCCACTCAGGTGCCCCTGAGATTTTTGGATTCTTAAAAGTCAACATTAAAGTATGGAATGAGAAAACCAATGGGAGCATCATCCCAAGAAATCTTGTCAATAGTTTTCTTGAGTTTTTGGCTGCCCCTTTCTGGACAGTAAAGAAAGGAGTTTTGCTCCACAAATTATTTCACTTTTTGCCACCTGTTATCCATTCTTCCAAAAACCTTTTTTTTTTTTTTTTAAAGATTTTATTTATTTATTTGTCAGAGAGAGAGAGAGGGAGAGAGAGCAAGCACAGGCAGACAGAATGGCAGGCAGAGGCAGAGGGAGAAGCAGGCTCCCTGATGAGCAAGGAGCCCGATGTGGGACTCGATCCCAGGACACTGGGATCATGACCTGAGCCGAAGGCAGCTGCTTAACCAACTGAGCCACCCAGGCGTCCCTTCCAAAAACCTTTTTAAAAGGTTTGTGGGGTAGGGGTGAGGAGGGGGGAGAAGAGCCCAGGCCCTGCTGCCTAGCCTTAGGGACATCCCCTGGGTCACAACTGTGGTGTTAGGGTCTGTGAGTGACAGTGCCGTCATCACTTGGTGATTTCAGGAATGTCTGCACATCAGAATGGCAAAATGTGATAGTCGTGTGGTTGATGGTGGTGAGCATTTACAGGTGTGTTCAGTATGCCAGTCACATGCTCAGCACCTTACATGCAGGAACTCACCTAAAGTTCATGACAATGTAATGTCCTGTCGCTTCCCTGTGTCTACAGAAGGAACTGAATGAAGCCAAGAAAGAGAGATTAGCTTGACAAAGGCTACACAGTGGAGAGATAGGATTTGAACCCAAATTCCAAAGCTTAGGCCTGGTGTTTGAGACCTATACTTTCCTCTCTTTTTTTTTTTTCTTAAGTGTAACTTAAGTATTCTCTACACCCAAAGTGAGGCTTGAACTCACGACCCCGTGAAAAAGCCACATGCTCTTTTGACCGACTGAGCCAGCCAGGCACCCCTGTATTTTCCTCTTTTAAGATATGTTTCTCAGTTTAGTTTTCGGCAGACTCTCACCAGACAGTCTCTCAGCCATGACAGAACCACAGTGAAGTGTCCCTGATGGTGGAGACCCGTGGGAGCTGGGTTCCCAGGCCACCAGATGGCACCGTTCCCTAAGGTCTCTTTCCTGGTGACATAAGCCTTTGGTCATGCCATAGGCAGGAATACTGACTGTTTGTTTCTATTTCAGGCCCACAAGCTGTGCATTCAGGAGAAGCTGAGTGTCGTTTCCAAGTAGATCGTGGAGCGGGCCAGTGCCCCTCCGAACCCTCCCGAGGAGGAGGAGATGATGTTTCCTTCAGGCTTGACCAAAGCATCGCCCTCCCGACCCCACCCGGCCGTGACGCTCGGGCTCTACGTCCAGCAGCCCCCACAACGCGGGAGGCCTCCTCCTGGGGGGGCACCCAGCACCCTTGCGCTGTCTGCGGGGAGAGCTTTTGGACGAAGGACCACTTGGAGAAGCACCAGAAAAGCCACTTGAAGAACCAGCCGTGGAGGTCCTGGAAGAAACGCAGCCGCCAAGCTGATCAGCAGCCGCAGCGGAGCCGCCCTCAGGCTCCCAGGCGCTTCCGGTGTCCGGACTGTGGGAGGAGCTTCCGGCGGAAGCGGCCTTTGCTCGCGCATCTGGCTGTGCATGCGGGCGAGAGCGCCCTGCGGGACCCCGAGTGTCGGACGTGCTTCCCGCCCAAGCAGCCTCTTCTGGGCCACCGCCTCCCGCATGAGGGGAAGAGGCCATCCCGGTGCCCCAGATGTGACGGGAGCTTGTGGTCCAGCAGCGGCATGCAGGCTTGCCAGGGCCTGCCCGGCCGGGAGAGGCTAGACTCCTGGAGAGAAGGCGATGGCACCTTCCCGAGCAGGGCTGAGCCGGCCGCTGTGCCCTCGGGAGGGAGGCCGAGCCCGTGTGAGGAGCGCTGCGCCCGCACGGGAGCCGGGGAGAGGCCGTTCTCCTGCGCCGAGTGCGGTAAGCACTTCGCTGCCAGGTCCAAGCTCGCCGGCCACCTCCGTGTGCACACGGGAGAGAAGCCCTTCCGGTGCCCGGAGTGTGGCAAGAGCTTCCGCCTGCGCGGCCTGCTCAGGGGCCACCAGCGCGTGCACCGCGGCGAGCGGCCCTTTCCCTGCCGGAAGTGCGGCAAGGCCTTCGCCAAGCGGTGTAAGCTCACGGAGCACGGCCGCGTCCACAGCGGGGAGAAGCCCTTCTGGTGCGCCCAGTGCGGCAGGAGCTTCCGCCAGCGGGGACAGCTGCTGAGGCACGAGCGGCTGCACAGCGACGAGAGGCCCTTCCAGTGCCCCGAGTGCCCGCTGAGCTTCCGCCTGCAGAGCATGCTTCGGGCACACCGGCTCCGCCACGGCGGAGAGCGGCCCTTCTCCTGCGGCGAGTGCGGCCGGGCCTTCACGCACCAGTGCAAGCTCCGCGAGCACTTGAGAGTGCACAGCGGGGAGAGGCCCTTCCAGTGCCCCGAGTGTGCCAAGAGCTTCCGCCTCAAGGGCATCCTGAAGGCGCATCAGCGCACGCACAGCAAGGAGAGGCCCTTCTCGTGCGGGGAGTGCGGCAAGGGCTTCACCCGGCAGTCCAAGCTCACTGAACATTTCCGCGTGCACAGCGGGGAGAGGCCCTTCCAGTGCCCCACCTGCGACCGGAGTTTCCGCCTCAAGGGGCAGCTGCTGAGTCACCAGCGTCTGCACACCGGGGAGAGACCCTTCCAGTGCCCCGACTGCGGCAAGAGCTACCGCGTGAAGGCCGACATGAAGGCCCACCAGCTGCTGCACGGCGGCGAGATGCCCTTCTCCTGCGAATGTGGCAAGGGCTTTGCCAAGCAGTCCAAACTCATCGAGCACATCAGGACCCACACGGGGGAGAAGCCTTTCCAGTGTCCCAAATGTGACAAGAGTTTCCGCTTGAAGGCTCAGCTGCTCAGCCACCAAGGCCTGCACACAGGGGAGAGACCTTTCCGCTGTCCCGAGTGTGACAAGAACTTCCGGGAAAAGGGACACATGCTTCGGCACCAGCGCATACATAGGCCTGAGAGGCCCTTTGCCTGTGGCGACTGCGGGAAGGGCTTCATTTATAAGTCGAAACTAGCGGAACACATCAGGGTGCACACGAAATCCTACAGTGCTCCAAATGAGCCGGACATTAAGAAGAGGCTCAGCCAGCTGTTTGCGATGATCGAGGCCGACTGGAGTTGAGGCCCGTGGAGGGTATCCAGAGCCTTGGGGGAGTTGATATGGCCTGGAAATTCACAGCAGCCAGAGCCAAACCCACTGGAAGACAGATTTTAGGAAGAGGGCCCCCGTTTTGAGCAAGAATGTAACTCCGGTTAGGAAGTTGAGAAACCACCCAGGATTTTCTTATTTAGCGCACCACCTGTCATATTTCCTATCTATTGATAAAAGAGATACCTGTTTTCCCTGCCATCGTAAGTGGTAACTTCCCCGCAAATGCTAAGCTAGCTCTGAAATCCCCGCTGGAACTAGGACAGCCCCTCCAGTACTGTTCTGCAAGCTGAGGACGTGGGGTGGCTCTAAAATGTCCACTTGAGTCTTCTGCACGGTGTGATCCTAAACTGGGGGGTTTAAATCCAGTGGATTTTGTTTGCAAGCCTGATATGATGTTGGATTTGTTTTTGAGTCATTTATTTTGAAACCGACAGCAATAAAACAAGTTTTCTGAATCCCTGTCTGTTTCTGTGAGTGTTGAGGTCTCATGGCAGCTTCCACAGTGATTGTGCGTGGCTTCCCTTAAGGAAAAGCTGATAATTTCAGCAAAGTTTGGCTCATCTGAGTTGAAGAAACCTAAAAGCAGGGGTGCTAAGATACATGGGGCTAGAATATAGATACGAGATGGATTGGGACAGGAGGTATGGGTTTGGGAGCTGCAGAACAGAGATGGTGTTTGAAGCCAAGACAGTGAATGAGATTCCCAAGAGTGACTAAGCGGTGACTAAATCTGAGTAAAGACAAAATTACAGCCAAGGGGCGCCTGGCTGGCTCAGTTGGTGGAGTGTGCAACTCTTGATCTTGGGGGTTGTGAGTTCAAGTCCCATGCTGGGTGTAGAGATTACTTAAAAATAAAATTTGGGGGAAAAAAGTAGCAAACCAAACAGCTCTGTCATGGAGCACTACAGGCAACAACAGTTCTGCGCAGAGAATTTTCAACCAAATGTTACAAATAAACATAATACAAGTAGAAGTCTAGGAAACTATCCCATTGCTACGTGAGGTGAAGGTTGTGTGAGCACAGAATGTTTGTACTTCAGGGAAACACCTGCACTCCAAAGAAATCCTGACTTTCAGAGGGTTCATGTTTTGTGTAGAACACCTGAAATTCTGGGGCATCTGGGTGGCTCAGTCGGTGAAGAATCTGCCTTTCACTTGGGTCATGATCTTGGAGTCCTGGGATTGGGCCCCACGTCAGGCTGTCTGCTCAGCAGGGAGTCTGCTTATCCCTTGCCCCCCTCTCTCAAATAAATCGTTAAAAAAAAAAAAAGGCCTGAAATTCTGAGGGATGACAGAAAATGAGATTATTACTAAATTATAACAGATGTTACTAGAAAACAATGTTTCACACATGGTGTTCTCTGGAACACTAGCTCCAAAGATTCTTTTTTTTTTTTTTTTTTTTTTTTCAAAAAAGGAAAGAGGGGAGTCTGGGTAGCTCAGTTAATCTGACTTGATTTTGGCTCAGGTCATGTTCTCAGGGTTGTAAGATCAAGACCCATGTCAGGCTCCGTGCTGGGTGCTTTATTTTTCCTCTCCCTCTGCCCCTCTGCCCCAACTTGAACTCTCCCTCTCAAAAAAAAAAAAAAAAAAAAAAAAAATTTAAAAAGGAAAGAACTCATGACCAATTGAAGTAAAAGAGTTCTCCCCCATCACCCCCCCGACACACACACAGTCTATGGCTCTCCCAGCGGAAGACCTAATGTGTATTATTTTCTTATATTTGAATATGTTTGATCTTGGGATTCTTTCTTCCAAAGATATGAGCATTTCCAAAGATGGGAATTTCTCCCAAATTCTTTCGTTTTTTTCCAAAAACATTTACTATGATCTTGTGGACATCGAATTCTGCAGGATTCATTTTGGAAAACATTACTGAAGGGCAAGCACGCTTGGCTCCAGCAAAGCAGCCCTTTGCCCATTAAGAAGAATGGGAATCCAAGGAAATGAGGTCTTCAGTTTTAGGGGCAAAAGAAAACAGACCGGTAAGTCCCAATAAATCCTTACTTGGCTTTAGAAAACTGTCTTTCCTCCACTGAATGGTGGGACACTAACAAAGTGACTGATTAACATTAGAGATTGTGTCATTTAGGCAGGTTTACAATCACTCAGAACCCGGCAATATCTGTTGTGTTCATGGGACAGTCACCTAAAATCGTGGAGTTAGACTCAAAATAAGCAAAGAAGGGATGGAAATCATGCTGCAGGTGAATGCCCATAGAGAGGACCCGGAGAGCAGGACCTGATCATGAACCCAGCAGGGGGTTCAAGGGAGACTGAAGACCAGAGCCTCAACTGCAGGATCTCAGAGATGGTAAAAGATCCAATGTTTAAAGTATTTCTAAAAACTGAAGGTGTTTTGGAAGATGTCAAGAAAAAGGGTAAGATACAACTAAACCCAAGAACTAGGCTGCTCACGCTCAACATGGAAAACAGGTCCCATAGTGGGACTTAAAGAGGAGAGAGATTCTGGAAAAGAAGGTATCATAAGCACAGGTTCACATTCATCCTTTTCTATCCTGCCCAAAATACCTAAAAAGAAAAACCCATGCTGAGATATCCTGCAGAAATCCCTGAATTTTAAGAATAAGGAAAGATGCCTACAAGTATCCAAAAAAAATAATCCTATCACCTCCAAATGAATCATAAATCCGACTGACCCATATCAAAAGGGACAGAATGGTTTTTTTTTAATCCCATTAAGATCAAGAGGGCAATGGTCTCTGCTGAGCTATTACTTAACATTACAAAGCATGTTTTATCATCGTATACGTGGGTCATCAGAGAAAATCACCTAAATAACCATTACAACTGAGAAAAAGATCCTATTCACAAAAGCCCAGTCAATATCTTGACTCAAGATGGGAACCAAACACACTCATATTTGTCTTCTGCCTCTGGATATCCCAGTAATATTACAGCAAAGGAATTTTTTAAAAAGATTCTATTTATTTATTTGAGAGACAGATCACAAGTAGGCAGAGAGGCAGGCAGAGAGAGAGGAGGAAACAAGCTCCCTGCTGAGCAGAGAGCCCGATGTGGGGCTCCATCCCAGGACCCAGGGATCATGACCTGAGCTGAAGGCAGAGGCTTTAACCCACTGAACCACCCAAGCTCCCAGGAATTTTTTTTTTTTTTTTTTTTTTTTTATAAATCCACAACCATGAAGAGAACTCAGAGGAAACCATCAGTGGACGAGAAAGCTCAACAGATTCCAGAAAGTTATTGGCAGAATGGTATCTAGTAAAGGAAAGAGGAGTTGCCACAAGCAGGAAGAGGCAGAAAGGGGACTGAATCTTGGAGGAGTGTGATTGGTTGAGCAGATGCTCAGCCCAGGAGCCAGGCAGGATGGAGGCCCAAGACCAGTGCAATTAACTGGAAGTCTATCAGTGACTAGTCAGGCCCTCCATCCACTACCACCAGCAGTAGCACCAGGAAGGCAAAGGGAAAGATGCAAGAAGAGTTGCTTAACAGATTTCTGAGTCTGGAGCTCAGAGCAGATGTCTGGACTAGAGAGAGAAACTTGGTCATCAGCATTAAATATTTAAATTCCCTGGCACTGAGATCACCTAGAGCTCGAGGGCAGATAAATGAGAACGGAGGACCAGGTCCTCAGTAACCCTAATAATTTGAGAGCCAACAGATTTGGAGAAGTAGGGAAAGAGAGCAAAAAGGAGGGACCTGTGAGATGGGAGGATCCTAGGAGGGAGTGGTGCCTCATCAACCAAGCAAGGAGAATATTCCAAGAAGCAGGCCAACAAAGATGAGTGCTGCTAAGAAGTTCGGTGCAGTGAGAGTAAAGAAATGGGCAGACGATTTTTCAACATCAAGGTAGCTAATGACCTAGACAAGAACACTTTCCTTTGTGTTGGAGCAGAAAGGCAGACCTTGGCTGACTGGTGCATGGTGTGAATAAGGAATTGGAGACAGGCTGTGTAGAGAACTCTTTCCAGAAGTTCAGTTTAAAGGGGAGCAGAGAAATTGACAGTAGCTGGAAAAGTTACTGATACTAGAGCAAATCTGCCTGCTAATGGGGAAGGATTCTGAAAAAGGAGGAGAGTGAAGATGTAGGAGAGCAGAGACAGACCAGCAGGTGGAGGAATTGGCCTTCAGTGGGAGAGGGACACTTTCCCGTAATAACTGGAGGAGAGGAAGAGAAGTTGCTACTACAAATGGAATTTGGTTTAGAGTTGGGGGTTCACATCTGATGGCTTTTTCATTAGCTAAGAGAGAATAGGGGAAATTAGAGGAGAAACATGAAAATATGAGTCACCTGAATCCTTGCAAAACTGATCTGTTGGGAGTAAATTATCACCAGTAGCACCTGGTAGGATGTCTTACATAGAGCAAACTCAGTAAACCGTGCTGAGTATCTCAAGGAATCGAAATTTCTGACTGGTGTAGAAATTTGAGGAGGAATTTGCACAGCAAATCCCCAAAATTTATGAGAGAAAGGGGACATTGGAAACGTTCAGTGAGAATTTTAGGACAAGAGGAAGCACTTTCTACAAAAGATTTTATTTTAGAGGCATAAGCAAAAAAATAGAGATGGAAATTTATTTGGCTGAATTGGTGAAGGTCACAGTAGAAGATTTCTAAGGGAAACTAGACTATCCCTAACCTCCAAAGTCCGTGACAAGTTATGTAAGGTATTCCTTGAATGAGCCCTTCCTGTTGCTTCCTGTTGCCTTAGCATTTCCCAGAAAACTCTTTTTGGTCTGTTTTCTATAAGCTGGGTAGTATATGGTTTAAGTCTCTCCTGCTCTCCCCGCACCCCCCCCCGCCTTTATCACAAGATTCCTTTACTGTAACCAATAGAGAGCTAGGATATTTCAATTTTTTTTTAAAGTAATCGTTTCCTGGGGCGTCTGGTTGACTCAGTCGGGTAAGCATCTACCTTCCTCTCAAGCCAAGATCTCAGGGTCCTGGGATCCACCCCCACACCTTTGGCCACAGTTAGTGTACCTTCCCCAGTTTGCCTCCCTTTATCACCCCCCACTCCCACCCTTCCTGGGTCCTCATAGAAGCTGGAGGGATTGCCTGAGCCCAAGGCAGCCCACACCCCTCCCGAAACGACGGAACGGTGAAAACCACCGTGGCGGACAGGTGAGCGGCGGAGAGGTGGATAGAGTAGTGAATGGCTACACACGGAGGCACAAGCTGATTTTGAGCGGCAATCTGGGGCGGCAACAATGGAAGCAGAAAACGGAACGTTGTACAGGATCCAATTCCCTGACTTATATGTGATCGATTTCAGATGTGACCTTGTGTAGCCCTCAAAGGAGGAAAGGTCATAACTGTGGAGAAAATGGTGCAATTCCAGTTCTCCCAGTCCAGAGAGCAGGGATATCCAGATGCTGTTAAAGGATGCACGGAGCTGCCCCAGGTCGCCGGAGCAATCTACTCCTCCTACCCGCAGGCGGCGCTGTGGGATCCC